TCCTCCTCCTCCTCCTCCTCCTCCTCCTACTCCTCCACCTCCTCGTCCTCGTCCTCCACCTCCTCGTCCTCGTCGTCGTCGTCGTCCTCCTCCTCCTCCTCCTCCACCTCCACCTCCTCCTCCTCCTCCTCCTCCTCCTCCTCCTCGTCCTGCTCCTCCTCCTCCTCCTCCTCCTCCTCCTCCTCCTCTTTGACGACAGAGGCTCCCCGGAGGCTCAAGCATGGCAGACCACGCCCGCAAACATCGACCCTCGACCCTCGATCCTCCCCCCTCCTCCCTCCGGGCGGGTACAGGGCAGTTTTTAACCCATTGGATTTTTTTAATATAGGATGTTTAAACACATGATTCTTCTATGAGTACATTCATGCACGAACTCATCGTTGTTTTTAATACTAAATCCCTGCATGTTTGATACATGATCCGCACGCGGAGCATGTATTAAACAGCTGTACTGCCGCAGCCGACTTCGAGCAGGAAGCTCCACTCTCGCGGTCCCTCCGGCCATGGCGGGGGGCCCCGGACGGCGCTGCGGAGCCCGGCTCTCCCCCTGCCGAGCCGAGCCGATCCAGCCGGAGGGCCGAACTTGTCGGCGATGCGGTACAGCATGCGGAGCAGGGACCTGTCTGGCGGCGCGCACCGGGGGGGTACAGGGGGAGGGGGGGGAAGGCTTCGCAGAAAGAGGCGGATTAGGGTTCGCATGTGGCCCCCTAGTCTGGCGGCGCGCACCAGGGGGTAGGGGTAGGGGGGGGGAAGGCTTCTTAGGAAGAGGCTGACTGGCAGAAGGCGCCAGACCTACATCTATAGAGAAGGCCCGCGCCCTCTAAGAAGCGGGGGTGCTTTTGAGAGGCCTCCCCCCCTCCCCCTAAAGTCGGACCCGAGCCAGAAGAACATCCCTCAAGTACATGAGACCCTCCGTCGGTCATAGCAAACCGAGCAGCCAAGGGGAACCTCCCCAGGGTGCACGAGAACATCCAACGGGCACGAAGAACACTGGGGGACCCCCCCCCCGGACCGACCTCGACCGTAAATACCTTGGTCCGACTGTACCCCGCCCCGTGCGCGCGGCCGGCCTGTGGCAGGCGCGGTGCAGGAAGAGCACGTAGCGCCCGCCTCGCGGCACGGAGGGGCCCGGGGGACAGGCCGGGCGGGGGGCCGGGCCGGGCCGCGCCGGGGCTGGGGCAGCCCCAGGGGGGCGCGTGCACGCCGAGGCTATGGGGAACGACAGCCTCGCCGTCGTCGTCGCCGTCGTCGTTGCCGTCGTCGTCGTCGTCGTCGTCGTCGTCGTCGTCGTCGTCGTCGTCGTCGTCCTCGTCGTCGCCCTCGTCGTCGCCGTCGTCGTCGTCGTCGCCGTCGTCGTCGTCATCGTCCTCGTCGTCGCCGTCGTTGTCGTCGTCGTCGTCCTCATCGTCGTGGTCGTGGTCGTCGTCGTCGTAGTCGTCGTCTTTGTCGTCGTCGTCCTCCTCCCCCGCCTCCTCCTCGCCCTCGTCCTGATCCTCGTCGTCGTCATTATCCTCTTTCTCCTCGTCATCTTTATCCTTGGCCTGCAACTGACCTTCACACACACGCGATGAGAGATCATAAATGTGAGAACTCTCTGGGGACACTCCGCGCCGATCTCTGAGGGTGCTCAGGTATGCCGCAGATCCTCTGAGGTTCCCTGGAGCCATCGGGGATCATACTTTTCCGCGGGGCAGCTGCTGGCAGGCCAATGTCTTATTGAATCGCTTCGCTCATTCCGCCGGCCCGTGATATGGCATCGCTGGTTTTTGTCTGTGTGTTCGTTGCCCATGTTGCGCTCTTGGGGGCGGGTGTCGTTCGGACGCGTTGCGTGGGGAGTTTTGATGGTGAAGCAGTTCCCTGGGGGTCGTCTCTCGATGGGGCGAAATAGAGTCGTCGTCAAGATGCTTCTTTGGGGGGCCTCTTGGGGTCTGTTGAGAGGCCGTTCGGGGGCGCCTGGGAGACATGTTTGAAGCCTTCTGGGGCTTCTTTTGGGCCTCCTGGGAGTCTCCTGGGGCCTCTTGGCGACATCTTGGGGCCTCTTGGAGGCCTCTTGGGGCCTCTTTGGGACCTCCTGGGCGCCTTCTGGGACGGAGGGCTCCATTTTTGAGTTCTCGGTATCCCTCCTGAGTCCCTCTTGGGCCCGTCTTGGGGCCTCTTGGTCCGTCTTGGGCGGCACTTGGGCCGTCTTGAGGGCTCTCTTGGGTCGTTTCGGCGCCGTCTTGGGAGCTTCGTGGGCCGTCTTGGAGCGGTCTTGGGGGCCTCTTGGGCCGTCTTGGAGCGTCCGGAAGCCGAAAAAGCCAGAACACAAAAAACATAGAAAAAACCAATGACAATCAACGATTTTGGCCTCTTGGGGCTCTCTTCGGAGGCCTCTTGGAAGGCTCTTGGGGCGTCTTGGAGGCCTCTTGGGCTGTCTTGGGGGCCTTTTGGGCCGTCTTGGGGTCATCTTCGGCGTCTTCGAGCGCTCTTTGGGCGTCTCGGGGGCCTCTTGGGCAGTCTTGGGGGCCTCTTGGGGCACTCTGAGCGCGCTCTGGGGAGCCTGAGAGGCCGCACCCAGAAGGAAAACCATCTCTGAGTAGACTTGGTCGGGCGGCGGTCGGGCGGCGTCGGGCGGCGACCGGGCGTTGGTCGGGGTACTTTTCGCCGGGGACCCCCAGGGGCCGCCCCGCGCGCGCGAACTAGAAATACTGTTAATACTGTTAACCAGTTACCGGAGATCTTAGCACGCCCTGGCCCGTTGGGCCGGCGAATTTATGTGTTTATGCGGCCACTGTAGGAGGAGGAGGAGGAGGAGCAGGAGGAGGAGGAGGAGGAGGAGGAGAAAGACGGGAGGAGGAGGAGGAGGAGGAGGAGGAGGAGGAGGAGGAGGAGGGGGAGGAGGAGGAGGAGGAGGAGGAGGAGGAGGAGGAGGAGGAGAAGGAGGAGGAGGAGGACAAGGACAAGGACATCCGCAGAAGGGGGTGCAACGTCAAGGCACCCACTCAGGTGCCTTACGCACTTCTGTCAAGGAGGAGGAGGCGGAAGAGGAGGAGGAGGAGGAGGAGGAGGAGGAGGAGGAGGAGGAGGAGGAGGAGAAGGAAGAGGAAGATTGGGGGGGGGGGCGGCCACTCCGCACGATCGCGTTCTGCCGACAACTTGCCGGAAACGCTGATCTTGGGCACCAGGCGGGCCTGGCCAAGATCGACGTTGGCGTATCAAAGGGGCCCTGGGACACACAAAGAAATAGACACAACTCCCAACACTCCCATTGATTTCCGATATTTTCTGGGCTCTCACCTTCCCCCCCACTTCTCATACTTTCCCATGTTCTCCTGTGAGTCGACGATCAATCGTGTCGGTGTGTGTTTTCCCCCTCCCTGATCTAGTTGGCGCCCCTCGACCTCGGGCAGAACGGCTGCTGCAGCCCACGGGCGTGCATGCACGCCACGGTACTGGCAGGGAGGTCTTCGACGTCTTTTTTGTTGCGGCATCTCCTGGACAATTGTTCCGGCCGCGGGGCTTGGGAGAGATCTTCGCAGGTCTGCTCCGGAGGTCTCCTGGAGGCCTCCCGGGCCCCGGAGTGGGCTCCAGCAGCTTCGCCTCGTCAGGGGCTTCTTCCGGTGGCGAGCCTGGGCTCGTGCCGGACGGCCACCCGAATGGATTCTGGATGCGAGGAGGCGGGAGGCAGGAAGAACACCTCCTCGCATTCCTCCTGCTCATCCGCCCTCTTCCTCCATGGGGGGGCGCCTCTCTGTCTCTTTCTCTCTCTCTCTCTTTTTCCGTCTTTCTTTCGTTCGTCATCTGTTTCTGTTCGTCCCAACCATCCTGTGGTGTTGAGTCCTCGTTTTGATAAGACAATACCCCGCGTCGCTCACCTCACCTCCCGCTGTCCCTCCTCCCTCCTCCCCTCCCTGCCTCTGCTCTTCGCACGCCCACCATTTCGGCACACCCCTCACAAGGATCGTGGCCCCATAGGGAGATCCAACCAAGACCCCAGTGGCGCAGAACGCATGCGCCCGACGCCCATCTTGGCACACCTCTCACACGGTTCGTGGCCCCATACGGAGCTCCACCCAAGGCCCCAGTGGCACAGGCCGCATGCGCCCGACGCTCATTTTGGCACACCCGTCACACGGTTCCTGGCACTATAGGGAGCTCCACCGAAGGCCCCAAGGGCACAGGCCGCATGCGCCCGACGCCCATGTTGGCACACCCCTCACACGGTTCGTGGCCCCATACGGAGCTCCACCCAAGGCCCATGTGACACAGGCCGCATGCGCCCGACGCCCATGTGGGCACACCCCTCACACGGTTCCTGGCCCCATACGGAGCTCCACTGAAGGCCCCAGTGGCACAGGCCGAATGCGCCCGACGCCCATGTGGGCCCACCCCTCACACAGTTCGTGGTCCCACACAGAGAGCTCCACCGAAGGCCGCAGTGGCACAGGCCGCATGCGCCCGACGCCCATGTTGGCGCACCCCTCACACGGTTCGTGGCCCCATACGGAGCTCCACCCAAGGCCCCAGTGGCACAGGCCACATGCGCCCGACGCCCATTTTGGAACACCCCTCACACGGTTCCTGGCCCCATACGGAGCTCAACCCAAGGCCCCAGTGGCACAGGTCGCATGCTGGCCCCATATCGGACGAGCCGCATGCGCCCGACGCCCATTTTGGCAAACCACTCACACGGTTCCTGGCACTAGAGGGAGCTCAACCGAAGGCCCCAAGGCCACAGGCCGCATGCGCCAGACGCCCATGTTGGCACACCCCTCACACGGTTCGTGGCCCCATACTGAGCTCCACCCAAGGCCCATGTGACACAAGCCGCATGCGCCCGGCGCCCATGTTGGCACACCCCTCACACGGTTCCTGGCCCCATACGGAGCTCCACTGAAGGCCCCAGTGGCACAGGCCGCATGCGCCCGACGCCCATGTGGGCCCACCCCTCACACAGTTCGTGGTCCCACAGGGAGCTCCACCGAAGGCCGCAGTGGCACAGGCCGCATGCGCCCGACGCTCATTTTGGCACACCCCTCACACGGTTCCTGGCCCCATACGGAGCTCTACCCAAGGCCCCAGTGGCACAGGCCGCATGCGCCCGACGCCAATTTTGGCACCCCACTTCCGCGGTCCCTGACACTATCGGGAGCTCAATCGAAGGCCCCAAGGGCACAGGCCGCATGCGCCCGACGCCCATTTTGGCACACCCCTCACACGGTTCCTGGCCCCATACGGAGCTCCATCCAAGGCCCCAGTGGCACAGGCCACATGCGCCCGACGCCCATTTTGGCGCACCCCTCACACGGTTCGTGGCCCCATACGGAGCTCCACCGAACGCGGTACCCACAACGCGGTATTCACAGTAGCGCATGGTTGGTTTTTTTTCGCCATGATGTTTGTGTTCTCTCCGTCTCTCCTCTTTGTGTCTCTCTCCCTATATATATACATATAGATATAGCTATTCAAACAGATGTGCATATATAGATATATAGATAAATATAAATATACACATGCATGTCTTTCACATATCTATGTTTGGCAGGAGAAAGTCACGGCAGAAGGGAGGAGACGGACGGGCCCGGCGATGACAAGGGAGTCCCGAGGTGTAGCAGCAGGATTAGCAGACGAAGGTCGAGGGGGTGGGAACGAGAGGAGAGTGGCGGTGGGTGGGTGAATTGGGTGGGGGGGTCGAAGGCAGGGAGAACTGCCGACAAGGGAGAGCTCGAAAAAAGAGGAGGATGGTGATGGAAGGGCAACGGTTCGGAACGGGATTCGGAATGATTGCGAATCACTACCGACGACAAACTATTTGGGAGGGGAGCCCATCTTCAAACGGGTCCAAATCCTTTCGTCTCTCGCTGGTGATACGACAGGGGTGGGCGAACGAGGAAGACATACATTCACGGGATTGGGAGCAGCACGACTTATCAATTCTGTGGCTGGGTCACCCGACAGTGTCACCTCTCTGGCCATGCGCACGCTAGAAAGCTAAGGCCTGAGAAGGCTGGAATGGTGCTAATCGCGAGGGATACGGTGCTGCAACAGTCTCGATGCCTGGAGGGTGGCCAGCTAAAGCAGAATCTCATGGCGCTGCCACAAGAAAGCGGCCATTGAGAACTGTAGCGCTGATAAACCTGAAGTTGTTACAAGCTCCGGTTCCTCTTCCCGTTACGCACCTCCTCGTCCTATCCTTCCTCCCCCTTTTCCTCCTCATCCTCGTAACCCCTCTCCCCTCAGAAGTCGCCCCCCAGACCTGCTTCGGTCCAGGGGCGCGTTTCGACCAGAACTTCGAAAGGAACGCGGCCGTGGCGACGAGGAGAACCCCTAGAGGGCCCACAAAGGGGAAACAACTTTCAAGCATCTCGACCCTCGAACCTGACTCAACCTCTTCCTCCTCCTCCTCCCCCTCCTTCTAATCCTCCTAATCCTCCTCCTCCTCCTCCTCCTAATCATAATCCAAATCCTCCTCCTCCTCCTCCTCCGCCTCCTAATTCTAGTCCTCCTCCTCGTCCTACAGCTCCTCCTCCTCCTCCTCCTTCTCCTCCTCCTCCTCCTCATCATCATCATCCTCATCCACCTCCTCCTCCTCGTAATCCTCCTCGTAATCCTCCTCCTCGATGTTCCTGCTCCTTGGGGGTCGGATAAATATACCCAACCCATTTCTGGGGCCACAGGAACTGAAAAATCTTGGATTCTTGTGTCGAAATCAGAAGTTGACATCAGCTGTGGGGCGTGGGGCCCCATGGGACCCCTTGAACCAAACCTGACAATTTGGACGACCCGATGCCGCCCTCCCGTGCCCTCCCTCCACCTTCCCTCCCTCGCTGGCTCTCCCGTTCTGCTTGTCGGGGAGTCTGCGGGTCCGCCTGGAATTGCGCTTCAGGAATACTGGCTAACGCAGTAGAGTCATTGTGGCGCCGTGGGGGTGAGGTTTAAACATGCAACTGAAAAGATATGATTCGATACCCCACAGTGCTACGAGAAAGGTACCCACGAATGTATAACCACAAAAGGAAAGCAAAGGTAAACCATGCGACGAGAAGGAAACAAATGCCACGAAAAGGTGAAACATGCCACGAACATGCTACGACTATACGCCAGTCGCAAACAAAAATAACAGTCGAAGGCGGCGTGGCCGCTGGAGGTCCGACGTGGGCTGCCCCAGCTGGAGCGCTCAGGCACTGCGAGGGCTTCAAGAGAGACTGGCACCCCCACGGCCCGAGAGGCCGCCCAGACGGCCCAAGATGGCTTCAACATGTTCCAAGAATCCTTCCAGATGCCTCCAGGAGGGCCTCCAAGAGGCCCAGGGAGGCAACATCCATGCATCTCTTGAACTGTGTGAGAGGTTTGTCGCGCTTCCGCATGTCTGGCCTCCCGAAGCTCCCAGACGGCCCCAAGAGGCCCCAGAGGTCTCCCCCCTCGCCTTTGTTATGCGACGCGCGAGGGTCCATCGGCTCACCTCGTTCTGCAAACGCACAAGGAAGCGGACTAGAACTTGCCCCGAATAGAAAACATCCCACAGACATGCGTGCCTGGGGGCGGGGGTCGTATGTATTGAGCAGGGACCGACCGTCCCGGCATTCCTATAGTCCTACCAGGCAATGTTCTTAGAACCCCAAAAAGTTCTCAAAACAAGAACAATGTTCTTAGAGCATCAACCCGATGTGTTAAACCAAGACAGTCCCAACCAACAATGTTCTAAGAACATTTCGTGGAAGCCACAAACGGTTCTTAGAACATTGCTTGGTAGGGCTACAGGCAAGCCAGGACGCCTCGCCACTGCTGGAATGTAGGACCCAGAGCTCCTCCTCAATGTCGGGAGCGGCCAAGAGGGGGTGTCCAAGAGGGGGGGGTGCAAATCATGACCGGCGGCATGTGCGCGGCCCAGCGGGGGGGCCAGGGGCGTAATGAAATAAGAAGAGGCGCCATGAGATCTGGGGAAATATCATGGCCCCCGCCATGATATCCCCCCCCCCTAGTCATCCCCCCTCTTTTCCGCCCCCGACAATGTTCATGGAGCGCATCCTGTCCAGGATTTCAAAGCGAGGCCCGCCGTGGCGTCGAGGGCGCCCCAGGAGGCCCCCCCGGAGTGCCGCTGACGCCCAAAAGCCCTCGTCGAGGAGGAGGATGACGAGGGGGGGGAGTGGGAGGAGGAGGAGGGGGAGGAGGAGGAGGAGGAGAAAGAGGAGGAGAAAGAGGAGGAGAAAGAGGAGGAGGCGGAGGAGGAGGAGGAGGAGGAGGAGGAGGAGTAGGAGAAGGATCATCTTCGTTCGTTCTCGTTCGCGCTGCTTCAGGGGAGCGTCTAAAGCCAGAGGTGCATCAAGGAACGGTCAGCCAATCTGGTTGGGCGACATCAAGAGCCTCGATCATCTCGCTCGTTCTGGCTAGCGCTGCTCCAACCGGGCGCCTGAAGCCAGAGATGCGTCAAGGAAAGGCAGGCCAGCTCGGCTGTGCGACACGTACGTGTGTAAAGGGGCCAGACGGGCAGTCCCCTTCCCCCCCATCCCCCCCCCCCACGACGGGCAGCCCCCTCCCCGGCGCTCGCCGCCTGGGCTCGTCGCGGAGAACACCGCCTCGCTGCCCGCCCGCATCGCGCCCATCGCGCCCGTGAAGCACCCTGGCGGCACCCCGCGCCCCGCCCCCCTCCGCCCCAGGCGCAGATCCCCCCCTCGCGTGGTGCAACAGACTCCAGGCGGAAGGTTCTCAACCATTTCGGGCCTCCGGGGGCCCTCGTCGGGCCCTTAAGGACAATCAAAAACGGGCTTGGGAGTAAACGCCGGCCCCGGGCAAGGGGTCGAGCCTCCTGAGGTCCACGCTTCGAAACAAGAGCATCAACATGTGCGACATCTTGCGGAGCAGCGGGGGGAACTGGAGGTGGAGAGGAGAGGGACTAAGGGGATGAAGTAACTGAAGGGGGGGCGGAATGGGGGACGTGGAGGAGGGAAATGGGGACAAAGAGAAGCTAGGGTGGGGGGCGGCAGCCGATGGGGGGGGGAGGAGGGGGGGGGGAAGAAGGCGGTGGGGAGGAGGTAGGGAGGAAGACGCGGGTCGGAAGAGAGCGGACAGGGCGGCAGAGGGGCATGGATGGCGAAAAGTGGCAGGAGGGAGGTTGGACGCTGTTGCACGAGCCACTGTGCGAAGATCATCGCTCGCAAACAGCTCCGAAGTGGTGTGTGCGTGTGTGCGTGTGTGTGTGTGTGTGTGTGTGCGTGTGTGTGTGTGTGTGTGTGTGAATGTGTGTGTGTGTGTGTGTGCGTGCGTGTGTGTGCGTGCGTGCGTGCGTGTGTGTGTGTGTGTGTGTGTGCGTGTGTGCACGCGCGAATGTGTGTGTGTGTGTGCGTGTGTATGTGTGTGTTTGTGTATGTGTGTGTTTGTGTGTGTGTGTGTGCGTGCGTGCGTGCGTGCGGGCGTGCGTGCGTGCGTGCGTGCGTGCGTACGTGCGGGCGTGCGTGGGTTGTGTGTGTGTGTCCAGTCTCGGAGCGTGACGACAGTAGATACGTACGAAAAGACATGTTGCTATAAGAGATCTGAGGGCAACTTTCCTCGCGATGCGATGTTCGACCTCTTTCTGTGCCCCGTGGGAGGCGTTTGGAAAAAGTGTAGAACTCGTCCCTGTTGGTGTGGGGCTGGGTTGCTGCCTCTTGACCAACGATCTGAGGCAATGTTCGGCCCCAAGGGCGCCGGAAAGTCATCGCCACTATTCCCGCAGTCGCGAACTATTCCCGAATCTATTCCACGACGCCCGCCATTCCCGCAGTCGCCCCTGGGCGCACACGCGCCCCCCCGCGCCCCGGCAGAATGTCGAACCCCACCTTTAGAAAGCAAACAATTATATAGCTTGGCGAAGTGCCCCTTTCCCAAGATGAGAAGCGCCAGCGTGTGAGCCAGCGGCGCACGCGCGCCCCCCGCAACAAAACGTCGCGCAATCTGCCAGATCCTTCCCTCGGACAACACGAGTTGGGATACGTACGTAGTTCGCTGCTTGCCCCCCCCCCCCCCCCTCCCCCTGTCCTCCAGACTTTTACTCACGGGAACGACGCTCAGGCACCATACCAACATTGGACCCCCTCGGCCCCCACCATTTTCCAGCCCCCGCGGCCAACGCGTAAGACTTGGGTCTAGGATCGACAACGCCTCGGAAGACGCCAATGTGGCACGGTGCAGGCAGTCTGGGCGCTAGGGGCAGGTCGTGTACAACACCGGCGCAAGTAATTGGCCGAACAGGCAGGGCACGCGGGAACAACTCTCACGAAACAATGCTTCCGAGTCAATGCTGCTGTGTTCCTCCTTTTTCACCACCACTCCTACATCTCTCCAACTCCTCCATCCCTCTTACTCCCCCTCCTCATTCACCTTATTCGTCCTTGTCCTCCTCCTCCCCCTCCTCCCCCTCCTCCTCCTCCTCCTCCTCCTCCTCCTCCTCCTCCTCCTCCTCCTCCTCCTCCTCCTCCTCATCATCATCACCCCTCCTCCTACACCCCTCCTCCGCATGATCATCATCCTCTTCCTCCCACGCCCGCCTCCTCCCGCTCACGTCGTAAGACCGATGCAAGGTACGGGTCAAACTGGGCACGAATCATCCAAGATCTCCGATACCCAGCGACTGCGCACGATGTATGGGGTGTCGCGGGCACTCTGGAGCGCACCAGAGAATTCCCTTGCCGAGAGCCCAGCGTTGGATGCGTTGTCGTCATCATGACCCTCACCTGTCTTCTGAAACTGGGGACATCCACAAACGTAATCACTTGTCGAAAAAGGAGGCCTCTCCAGACTTCACACGCTCCTCCTCCTCCCCCTCCTCCTCCTCTTCTTCCTCCTCCTCTTCCTCCTCCTCCTCCTCATCATCATCATCCTCCTCATCATCATCATTATCCTCGTCCTCCTGCTTCCCCGCGCAGCCAAGATATGCCTGTGATGAGCCAGAACAGAAAATGCCCTCAAACGGCCCTCAGAAAAAAAAAGTGTGACGTTGCACGGACCCGACGCACGGGCTTGTGGTGTTAATGAGCACCTCCTCCTTATCCTCCTCGCCTTGTTTCTCCGAAGAATGATGGGATTGCGCCGACCCTTTTGGATAAATAAATAACTAGCGGAACAAAGGGTGTTAGTTCGGCGCCCTGGCTGCATCAGACACGATGCATGCGTAAAGCGGTGCCGATCGGACCGAGGACGGGGAGGACGGGGAGATGTGGACCAGGGACTGGGAAGATTCGCGCATCGAGTGACCTTCGGCCCATCCCACCGAGGTGACTGGGGCAGTTTTCTCTGCCTCCCCGTCCGCCCCCCCTTCCCTACATTCCCCTCTACCGTGCATCGGGGAACAGGAAGGGGGGAAGGGAGAGGAAAAGGAAAAGTGCGGGACATGAAGGGCCAGGCGGGTGAGATTACGGATGCGGGCCACGGCGGCAGCATGGGCGGTCGAAAGACGCCCCCGACCCTCAGACCATCAGGGCAGAGTAGGTTTTGGGCTGGCAAATGCTCCGGGAAAAATTGCAGACATCCGAATGCGTCCGTATCTCCGACTATGCTAAGCACCAAATTTGAGGAGAAAAAAAAAACTCGCGACATCGTCCTGGCCTTGTTTTGGGACAAGAAGGGCCAGGCGGGTGAGATTACGGAGGCGGGCCACGGCGGCAGCAGGGGCGGTCCTGAGACGTCCCCTACCCGACCCCGAAGGAACCTTTGGCCGAAGGCCGTATTATAATATCCTCGGAGCGAGAGTCTGGAGGGCCCGAGCTTGCTGGAGGGACAGAGAACTGGACAGCGCACGCACTGGCGGCGGCGGCGAGGCGAGGGGGATACTGAGCGGCGACGGCAAACCGCTTCTGACCTCTCTCGCCATTCTGTAGACTTGCTATAAAAGCCCCGGCGCCCTAAACTCGCATTCTCAATCGGCAGCGTAACGGCCGCGCCCCGGGAACAGACAGTGGTAGCCTTCCTGTACGGCGCGACGCGCTGGCACTGATGCAACGCAGACTTGCGGCAGAGGGGCGACTTGCAGAGACGGGCTAGCGCGGCGCCAGACCACAGCAACGAGGTCTGGCGACTCTCGAAACATACTGGGATGCGGGCCGCCACGCCTGCACGGATCAATCTGACAGTGAATCTGTAGGTGGCAATGCCGTCATCAATACTGGCTTCCTCGCGGGATCTCACGTCTGGAAGGCCCATGGGGTGGAGTGCGGAGCGAAGCGGTCGTCTGAGCGCACGCGTCCAGCTGGTGCGCGGCGCGCCGAGCCAGATGGCGCCCACCGCCCGAGTGGCGACGCAGCCGAGGACGATGGACTGGAATGCCGCCGAGGCGCGGCCCTCCAGCGGCTCCAGTCGAGCAAGAAGCCAGCGAAGCCCTGCGCGCGCGGCTGGTTGGGGAGCGCGGCGGTCTTGAGGGCCGCCAGCAGGGAACGAGCGAGGGCCCCTGATCGAAGGGGGTGCTCTCGTCGTTCACCCCCGCCCCCCTGGGCCCCTGGCCGCTCTGTTGCAGGATCAGGGCGTAGAATTGGTAAGGCGCCCCCGCGGCGGCGGCGGGGGGCGCCGGGCGACGCCCGCGCAGCTTCGCTGCCTCGCCCGGCCCGAGGTAGCAAGCGTACGCGACGAGGATGCAGATGGTGAGCCGGCGGTGACCGTCGCGGAGCAGGATGCCCGCGATGGCGAACGCGACCCGCCTCGGCAACGGGAGGCGCGCGTGGCTCGGAGCCGTCTGGGCCCAGGCCGCCCAGGCCGCCGCTGCGCGATGGGCCCGCGGCAGCAGCGTCGCAGTCCGCTTGTGCAGCGAGCCGAGGAAGTGGGCAACCGCCGCCAGGAGCGAGTTCCCAAGGTTCCCGCCGCCGCCGAGGAGGAACTCGCTGTCCATGCACTGCACGAGAGTCGAATCGAAGCTGGCATGGTCCGCCCAGTCCAGGCGGTGACGCGCGCAGAACCTCAGAAGCTTGCAGCGCCCCACGGTAGAGCTTCTCGGTCGATGGCCGCACCGCGAGCCGCTCCGGCACAAAGGCCCCAGGGCCGGCGACACCGCAGCTGCGAGCTCCTGGGCTGGCGGGCTCGCGCACCCTTCAACGCCGCAGCGGCGGGCGCCCCTCGCCCCCTCGAGGCTGCGGTGGTCTGGAAGAGGAGCCCCAGCAGCCAGAGCCGCTGCGTGGTCAAGCAACGCATCGCCAAACGGCACTAGCGCTGGGCGGGGGCCAAAGAACCACCCTGCCCGCCCGCGGTTGCGGCCGTCGGCCGGGCTGGCCGCTGAGGGGGCCCACCTGACTGATAGGGCCGAGCCAATGGTGGCAGAGAGCGCGCAGATCCTTCGCAGGGGGCCCTGGAGGCGCTCGCTGCGAGCCCGACCCTTCCCAACGGCTAGCTCCGAGGGCACGTGGTCCGTGAAAAGGAAGAAACGGGAAACGAAAGCCGATGCATACCCCAACAGATGATGAGATCCGAGAACGCATTCCTCCCCTTCCAGGGCCAGAATGTTGGCCATGACCGTCGATGTGCACGGCTGGGGTCGAGCCCCGGGCTTCCCCCCGAGCGAAGCGTGCCGGGGCCTCCTCGAAGTCGACGGGCGGCCGATGGTCGGGCAGCGATGGGGCCCTTCGAGCCGAAACCCTCGCCCTCCTCGATGCCGACATCCCCGCTGATTGAATAGTCGAAGCCCAAGGGGTCGTCCGGGCCGGCGGTGGTGACGTCAGTCTGTTCGGTCGCTCCGACTGCGCGATCTATGGCTTGGGCGCCCCCTTCGACCTCATAACTCAATGTTGTTTCGGCAACTCGGCCAGTGGCGCCCACGAGGCCCCCTGGGGCGCGGCGAGCGACAACGCCCGAAAACAGGGGGGGGGGGGGGGCGTCTGCGCAAACGACGCGCCCGTGCCACGGGGCGCGCAGGTCGGCCGTGCACGGGGGCAGCAGGTCGCGAATCATCTGAAGCTCTCTCCTCGCAGCAGGCCAGAGAGGAACGGCCGCGGGACCGGCAGCTTGGGCGAAGGCGTAGCGCCCAGCACGCACAACATCTCGCGCCGAAGCAAGAGGGCCCAGGTGATGTGGCCGGCGAGCACCCGCGCGAAGAAGCCGCTGACTTGCCGGCGGCGCAGCGCGCCGCGGATGGCAGCACGGAGACGCCAAACGTTGCGCGCCCGGAGACTGAGCCAGCGCCCTTCGCGCAGCGACAGCCCCAGGAAGTCGCAGTCATGCGCGGGCTCCTGCACCTCGTGCGCCGCGAGCCCGCGCTGCTGCAGGTCGCCCGTGACGGCCCGCAGCTGCTGGGGCACCCTGGGCGGGGGGCCGCCGAGGGCGACGCGGTTATCCACGTAGCTGGCGCCCACGAGCGAGTCGGGGCCACTGGGGGTCCGACAGCCGCTGCGGCCATCGGCGATCAGGTTCTCCGCGGGGGGGCCCTATCGGAGCGAGGAGGTCGTCGGCGCGGTCTGGCGCAGGCGCGGTGCCCAGCTGATGCCCGCGGGGGGCGCCACCGCCTGCAGCCGCAGCAGCTCGTCGCCGTGCGCGCCCGCCTCCACACAGCCGAAGGGCACCAGGTACTCTGCCTCGATCGGGCGCAGGGTGAAAATCCCCTCCATCCCCGGCGGCGCCTTCACGTGGTAGAGTGCGACGTTCCCCGACTCGAGGCGACGCTGAGCCGGGCGCCCCCCGACTCGAGGCGGCCCCAGGCTGACGCCGATGGCAGCTGGGCCCGAGGGGCCTCGGTAATCGAGAAGTTGGCGACACGGGCGTCGACGATGGCTCTCAGCTTGCCAGACTTCTTCGGCGCAGAAACAATCCCCATATTGCCGCGGCGCCCCTGGGCAGGAGGGAAGACGAGCACGTGGCGTTCGACCATGGCGCCCAGGAGCTCTGCATACTCAACTGATGATCGAACGAGAGCAAGGTCCGCGCGGGGCCCGCGCGGACAGGCCTCGGCCCCCTCCTCATCTCGAAGCACACGGCGCCTCTGCTCCCGCAGCGCGGGGGCGCCCTGCTCGCCGAGCAACCCGAGGAGCGGCGCCGGCGGCTCGGGCGCACCAGGCCAGGGGGCGAGGTCTGGCGCGCTGGAGTGGCGGGCCCGCCGCCGCCAGGGCACAACGCGGACCTAGCAAAGAGCTCCCGCAAGGCGCCGTCGGGGTCGGACACGTCGTCGCGGAGCTCGCCCAGCTCGCGGCCGAGAAAGGCGACCGCGTCCCAGTCGTAGCTGACGGCGCCGCGCTGCCCAGGAGTCGGAACGGCCAACTCGGGCGAGGACGAATCGACGTGGAAAGAATTGAGGGCTTGCGCGGCAGCGTCGGCTCGGCCGAGCGCGTGCATGAGCGAGCGGCCATTCCGTCCGCGCTGCTGGGTGCCGGAGCAACCAGCCATCGCGTCGGCAGCGGTCAGCAACGGCCAGGGAACGAGGTTGCGGTGGCGCCTCTCCCTGCGCGCCAGCTGACGGGCTGGGCTCGCGGCGCGGGCAGCGCCGTCGGCGCCCGCAGTGGCCCGGGGGGGCGACGGCGGCGGCTGGCCAGGCCGACCGCCCGAGGGCATGCTAGCCATCGCCGCCTGCGGCGCTGGGGCCTCTGCCCCGCTGGCCGCCGCGGCCTCTGAGCCCCCCCCCCCCCCCCGCGCCCGCCGTCCGGCAGCCCGCCGGCGAGGGGGCTCTCGCCTCGCGCCTTCCTCCGCTCCTTGGAGAGGCCATCTCTTTCTGCAGCTCCGCGGCGAGATAGTCGCGGAACGCATGCGCCGACCGAGCCAGCGAGCAACGAGGTGCCCATCATGGTGGCCCTGTCGGCGACGGCGGCGTCGTCTGGCTCGAGCAGGAAGCGGCGCCTATCCTCTTGCACCTGGATCGACCGCGCCGCGAGCTCCAAGTGAGCGAGGTTCGCGGCGCGCGCCTGGTCGCGCGCGCGGGCGGTCTCGAGGGCGAGACTGGTGGATCTCGACGCCCGACTCGGCGGGGTCGAGACCCGTCTCCGCCAACCACCTCTGGCGATGCGCCGTCGGAGTGCCGCTTCGCTGGGCCATGAAGTCAGCGACCCAGCGCTGAGTGCGCCGCCCCCGCGCGGGCTAATCAGGCCAGGGCAGCTCCGCCAACTGGGCGACGGCCGCGCGGAATTCCACGCGGCTGGTCCGGCGCGCGTCCAACGCCACGCCGAAGACACGGGGGTCCCCGCCAGGCCCCGCCACCGGGTGTGCGGTCGGGACGCAGGCCGCTGGCGCCGCGGCCGCAGCGGCGGGGGCGCCCGGGACACACGGGGCCACCGGGGCCGCGGGGGCGCCCAGGGGAACCGCGACAGCGCCTGGCGCCGCCGCGGAAAGGCCCGCGCCAGCACCCGGGGCGACGGGCGCGGCAGCGGGCACCAGGGCTGCGGGCGGAGACGCCGCCGCGGCAGGTCCGCCAGGAGCACCTCCGAGGGCGGCCGCCAGCCCTGCGTGCAAAACCGCCGCCAGAGCCGCCAGCAGCAGGAGCAGGAGCGGCAGCAGCCGCCACGGAGGCCGCGACCACGGGGGCGAACGCCCCGGCACGGCCTGCAACGTTGACCACGATGGGCCCGACAGGCACAGCGCCGGCCCTCGCGCAGGCGGCGGCACGGGCATCGCCCACAGCAGCGGGCAGCGGGAGGTGCTGGAAGTCGTAGACCTCGTCCAGCGCCATGGCTGCTGCTGGGGCCCCGATCGTGCCCTGCGGCAGCATCGTCCACTCAACGATGTTCGCGACATCGTTGAAGTCCTCGTCGTACTCGTCGCGGTCGTGGGTGAGGACCCCGACGACAGGGACGCCCCCCGGCACCAATGCCGTGACCACCCTGCGGTGCCACAGCCGTCGCCCGCGCACCCGATAGCGGACGGCGATGAAGCCGCCCTCGGCAAGCCCAGCCGTCGCGAACTGGTGGCGCGCCAAGGCGTCAGCCACGGAACGCAGCGGATCGTCGAGCTGCGACCTCCGCCAGCTGCGCCCGCGCCTCCTCCGACAGGTCCTTCAGGACCGACGGCGTGGGCGTGGCTGAGGAAGCAAGCGTCGGCCACCGCTGCACGCATAGCACCGCGGCGCCGCCCAAGGCAGCGCCGATCCCGAGCAGGACGAGGCTGGCCCTCGGCGCAGGCCACAACCCATTCGTCTCCAGCTCCCGCGGCACGGCGCCCTCGGCGCGGGAGAACACGGGCGTGCAATTGCAGGAGCAGTCTGGACAGGGGACTGCGGAGAAGCGAACGGCGAGAGCGGTCGAGAAACCCCTGCTGAGCTCGGTGAGCAGGGGATCCATGGGAGCCTGGGATCCCAAAAAACTTTGAGCACAAAAGCGTCGGATGGCAAATGTTCTGAGAGAGGAGGGCAGACATCCGAGTGCGTCCGTATCTCCGGCGATGCTAAGCACAATGTTGAACTAACACCCATATATATGTATAAACGTATATGTAAGTATATACGCGTGTATATACATATAGCTATATTTACCTAACTATACACATAGAACTCATAAAAGCGGGAAAAGGACGAGACAATTACCATCGCCCTCCTCATCCTGCATCCCTGCCGTGCACGCGAAGCGGCTCCTTCCAGCTGGATTGCGGTGATGTTGTTGTCGTCTCGCGCCATGAGCCGCAGAGCACTGCGGATGCCATGGACGCCCAGGGGGTTGTTGGAGACGTTGAGTTCCTGAGAGGGGCAGAGAAGGGACAGGCAAAGGCAGAGAAGGATAAAGCGACGGGAGAAGAAGGGGGGCCGGTGAGGAAACAGGGAGGAAGGGACAGGAAAAGAGGGGATCCAACGGATCAGTCATCCAACAATCGGACCCCGTCAGGCGTCGACCCGCAGGTGCGGGAATTTCTGCGCGTCAAAACGCAACACTCAACCAAAAGGCAATGCGCCCGTGAGACCCGACCCGCGCGGTCTTACGCAGAAGGCATCTATACACTATCTAGGGCTCCCAACTTCGCGCTTCGCGCTGCGCGAAGCGCGAATAACTTCGCGCTCTCGCGCCGCCCTCCCAAAGGGAGAAGAGGAGGACGAGGAGGAGGGGGAGAAGGAACGAGGACCGCGAAGCGCGAATAACTTCGCGCCCTCGAGGGCGCCCTTGACTATACACCACCACCGTGCCTGGCCAGGGCCACCCTCGGCCCAGGCACGGTGTGTACGACCTGCTGGCCGAGGCCAAGATGGTCTATACACCATCCCGGGGCCCAGGATGCGCCCGGCGGATCGCCAGAAGTGGTCACTGGGGGTGCTGACTACCTACCAGACCACCCCAACCCAACCCGAAGACCCGAATTTCGGGTTGGGGGGGGTAAGGGTTCTACATGTGTTTTTTCGATGTTCCTGGACCCCCCCCCCACTAGAAATCGAGGGTAAATCTGAGCCTTCGGGTTGGGTTGGGGTGGTTTGGTGGGTGGTGAGGTGCGTTGGGAGGCGACTTTCTCGCGCGCCGGGGGTCAGGGTAACGTGGGTTCCACAGAAACTCCCTCAATCAATTCCTGCTGCTGCTGCTGCTGCTGCTCGTCCTTGTCCTCCTGATCCCTCTACCTCCTGCTCATCCGCCACCTCCTCGCCCTCATCCAACGTACGCAGCCCCAGTCTTTCAAATTGCGCACGCCAAAATGGGGTCTTTCTTGGAGGTCCATGTCCGCTACGACACGCGTTGGCGGACAGAGAGAGAGAGAGAGAGAGAGAGAGAGAGAACGAGAGAGAGAGAGAGAACAACAAAAAAAGAAGAAGAAAGGAACAGAAACACCGCAATAGGAAGGGATCGGTGATAAGGGTCGGATGCCAGAAACGGCGCGAGAGCACCGAGCTCGCCCTTTCACCCTCTGCTCCGCCCCTCCTCCCCTCGCCTCTCCTCCTTCACTCCCTCGCCCCCCTCCTCCCCTCCCGCCCCCCCGCCCCGCCGCCCTCTCCCTCCCCCCCCTCCTCCCCTCCTCGCCTCCCCTTCCCTCGCCCTTCCCCCAGACACCTGCGGCGGGGCACGCCCAGAGGACCCCCCCCCCCGCCCAGTCATGCATGTTCGGGTGGTGGTCCAGGGCGTCCTCGATGATCAGGAACCTCCCGCCCGCCGCCGGGGAGGGCCGGGCGGCGCCCGCGGGGCAAACGGGGGCGGCCGCGGGGGGGGGAGGGCTGAAGCGTGGCAGCGCCGCGTTCCGCCCCCCCATCCCCCCCCACCCCCCCCACAGGGGACGGCCTGCGAATTAGGAGGAGCCTGGAACCACAACGAAAACGCGATGCCTGCCCTCCGCCCCCTAGGGGTGGGGGGGTGGGGGGGGGCGGACCTCCTCCGCCCCCTGGGGGGGGGGGGGGGCGGAGGAGGTCCGCCCCCCCGCCCCCCCGGGGACGGCCTGCGAATTATGAGGAAAACCTGGAACCACAACGAAAAAACAACAATTTTTTGCAGCGGTTCCAATTTTCCCATACTTCCGAATGCAGGGAAACCCATGGCCAAAAAACGACGATGCACCCCCCAAGACCCCCCCTCCCCCGAGAGGCCCGCCGCACGGTCCCGCTTCGCCAATCCGACTTGGGGACCCCGGGTGGTCCCCGTCGCCCGCGGCAACCTCGCAGACCGACCCGGGTGCCAATACCCTACCGTCGCCCCGAGTCTCCACCGACTTACCTCTTCCCTGAACTTCCAGGAGGGCTGAAACATGGCACCAGGACTTTGGCGCCAAAATTCCTGTCGCGGTTTTAGGCAGTCGAGATATCAGGTCTATAAGTATGGAGGGCCATCTTTTAGCACTTTGGGCTTTCTGGAGGGTGCGGGTTGCCGCCCACCCACCCTTTCCCGATCCCGCCCCCCCCCCCCCGTGCACAGCTGCGCCTCGCTCCTCTGGGGAGGGGGTGCAGGAACGAGTATGACTACATGACAGCGTCTCACCACTGCCTAACACAGTGAGGCACTCGAGGCACTCTAGAACCTACACATGACCACGCGTGCGCTTCTCTGCCGCAGAACTTTGGGAGTGAGGCCCCTCGAAATCCTGCCTAGACCTCTGAGCACTTCCCAGCGGGCGTTTCAGTGCGAGTCGGTGGCTTGGGCGGGCGCGGTATCATGGCAGCGCCGACAAATATAGACACGATGATGATAGTAGCGCGCTGACGATAATGACAAAAGCGACGGCACGGCCAGTGACGGCACCGATGTTGATCAGGCTGGCGACGATGACGGCATCCTCGCGTCGGTGATGAAGGTTTTGGAAGGAATTCGGCATGCGCGCGCGGCCGGTGCGCGAATGGTCCGCATGGTATTTTTTGAAACGGATCGCGCCCCCCAACAAGCGCGCACGGGCGTCCGTAGTTTGCCGACATGCGGCGCGAAAGGCCCGCTTGGCCGATTTAAATGAAGACGGTGGGAATCCATGCAAGGTTTCTTGAGAATGCGCAAGAGCGCGAGCGCAGTTCTTTTTTTCTTCCGGAGCAAATGTTGCAATACCGCATGTGTGTTAGATATTTTCGGGGCGCTCGATTTTGAAACCCTTACGATACCGAGGATTTCCGAAGGATTTGGGCATGCGCGGGCGACGACGCGCGCGCACTTCGTCCCATCGGTTGCGAAGGGTTCTTGCGACAGCACGCGCGCAAGGGCGTTCGAACGAGCATGCTGAACATACTGCGGTTGCCCTAAGGATTCGCAAGAACGCAAGCGCACACTTCTTGTTGAACATTGTTGTTGCGAAGCCGAATGTTTCTATACATGTTTTTTGGGACACTCGATTTTGAAGTCCTCACCAAAGCCACGGTTGCTGAAGGATTTCGGCATGCGCGCGCGACGACGCGCGCGTGTGCACATTGACCTACTTTTTGCAATGGAATCTTGGAAACTTCTGATTTGTGATAAATCGGAGGATGAGAAGCCGTTGCCAGCCTGCCTGAGATGAAACGAAAGCATATTCAGGTTGGAGGATGGGGCAGATTCATGTGCAACTTGCAATACGAAGAGGTGAGCGGTGAAATCCAGGGGTAAATCCGAATGTCCTTCTAGAAAGGAGAATCATGTGCAGCAGCCTCTATGGTGAAATCTATGTGGAGCAACCTCTGTGGCGGCGACAAGGTGGCGACGGGGCGGCGACGGCGACAACATAGCCGCCAGACCGCCACACAGGCCCACACGACGGGCGGCGACGAGGCGGCGACGGGGCAGCGACGGCGACAACATGGCCGTCAGACTGCCACATCGGCCCAGACGACGGGCGGAGACGAGACGGCGACGGGGCGGCGACGGCGACAACATAGCCGCCAGACTACCACGCGAGGTCAGTTCCTTAGGGCAGAAGCAAGAGACCTCAAGCTCAAACACTTCTTGGGAAATAAACATTTGTTTGTGTTGGGTCCCAGGAGCGCGCGCCCGAAGAGGAGAGTCTTCTGGCTCCGAGGGGAGGGGAATGTGGGACTCCACCTGCTGTGACCGATGTTCTCCAAGATGGTCCCGAGAGGCCCTCAAGAGGGCCCAAAGAGAGCCCTCAGAAGCCCCAAATAGATCCCCAACAGTTTTCAGGCATAATCCAAGAGGGCCCCAAGATGGCTCCAAGAGACCTCCAATATGCTCCTAGAGCGAAGGTTCTGCGAAGGCCTTTATGGTGGTGGTCGTCGTCGTCGCCTTCTTCCTTCCACATCCTCCCCCAACCATCCTCCTCATCCCCCGTTCCACCTCCCACCCAAGCTGCACCGACAATCGAGTGGGAGCGTGCTTCTGTCTCTTCCTTTTCATCTCGCCCCTCCTCCTCCTCCTCCTGCACCTTCTTCCTCTTCCTCTTCGTCCTCTTCCGCCTCCTCCTGATCCGTCTCCGTTTCCTCCTCCACCTCCTGCTTCGAAGCATCGAGAAAACCGCGAAGGCGTAAATGGTTCAATCCGTTGGGGGATCGTGTCTGGATGGGCCGCTGGGGATGCGCGAAGTGCCAGCCATTCGGTCCAGATCCTCTTCCGGCTGTCTTTTACGATCGGCCCTTCCGTCGCCAGAGAACGTCTGATGATTGATGCGGTTCATGGCGACGTCGAGCTTCACGAGGCCCGTCTCCCGGGAGAGGCTCTCCAAGAAGAGGGACATGGGCGTGTCCTGAGCAAGAGGTGGCGGGCGACACACACACAGACACACACACGCACACACACATCACCGACTTGTTGCCACTCCCAGCTGCCCTTCCCTAGGGGAAGAAAAAGTTACATAAATATAAAAACTCTGAGGTCCGCGCGGGTTTCTCGGATTTCTCGGTGCGGCGCCGGAGGCGCTGCCGGGGAGCCCCAGCGCCGATCCGAGAAATCCGCGCGGACCTCCGAGTTTTCATGTTTATGCCACTTTCATACGAACCTCCGAGATGGTCATAAACATTTGAAACATCGCCCGCAGACTATATCATTGTGGCTACTCTCGACCTTTTCCCCCTGTCGAGGGACGTGCCCGACCTGAAAGCTAACCGGCTCAGACCTCCTCGCCCGACTTCTCTCGGCCGGCCTCCCCTCCCTGCCCGAGCAGGCACGCCGCCCCGGCCCGGCAGCGGCCGCTGCTTGCAGGGCGGGCGCTCCACAGGACAGTCGGGTCGGGCGAAAAAGGGGGGGATAGCAAAAAGGGGGTTTGAGAATGCCCCGGCCCGGCAGCGGCCGCTGCTTGCAGGGCGGGCGCTCCTCACTATAGTCGGGTCGGGCGAAACGGGGGGGGATAGCAAAGGGGGGGGTGAGAATGCCCCGGCCCGGCAGCGGCCGCTGCTTGAAGGGCGGGCGGTCCTCACTATAGTCGGGTCGGGCGAAACGGGGGGGGGGGATAGCAAAGGGGGGGGGTCGGAGAATCGGCTCGCGCAGCTGATTTTCCCCCGGCGCCCCCCGTCGCCGGAGGAATGGGCCAATCGGTGGGGCCGAAACCAGCTGCACGCAGCAGCTTTCGTACCCCCCCCTTTCCCAATCCCCCCCTGTCGTCCGGCCTGAGTTGCCCCCCGCTTTCGGCTCATAACTCAGCTCTCCGGCGGCCGTTCGGGACGATCTGGGTACCTCCGGAACGCTCTCGGCGAGGCGCAGCTGCTGGAAGGCACCCCGAGGCTGGAAGACCGCCGAGAACCGACGAAACCTCCCGAGAACCTCAAGCCTCGAACGCTCGGACCTCAGGCCTCGAACGCTCGTCCGGCCCGATGTAGAAGGGCGCCGACGGCCGCGGCGACCCCGGCAGGGGGCGTGGGCAGAGGACCGCCGCCGGGGACGTCGTCGCCGTGCACGGCCCCCCCCGTCGGGCCCCGGAGTCCGAGGCCGGCCGGCGCTCGGTCCCGGAGCGCAGCGCGGCCCCCCTCTGCTGGGGTTTTGGGGAGCGTGGCGCCGGGGCGCGCGGGAGAACGCCCGCCCTCTCGATCCTCCTCCAGATCTGACTACCTACCAGACCACCCCAACCCAACCCGAGGACCCGATTTTCGGGTGTGGGGGGGGGTAAGGGTTCCACATGCGCGTTTTCGACGTTTCCCGACCCCCCCCACCCCCACTAGAACTCGAGGGCAAATCTGAGCCTTCGGGTTGGGTTGGGGTGATTTGGTGGGTGGTGACCGTCATCCTCCTGCTCAAACCACCTTCCCAAAAGCACCGCCTCCCTGGGCCAAGCTGCTTTTCCTGACCTCCACGGCCTCCTCCTCCTCTTGCTCCTCATCCTCCTCGGCCTCCTCCTATTCTATGTTCGTTCGACGCCACCGACGTCCCAGCGGGCCACGGAAGGCAGGGCGGAGGAGGAACAGGAGGCAGGGACCAAGCACCACAAACATCACTCCTCCTCCTCCTCCTCCTCCTCCTCCTCCTCCTCCTCCTCCTCCTCCTCCTCGTCGTCCTCCTCCTCTCTCCTCCTTCTCGTCCTCCTCCGCCTCCTCCTCCTCCTCCTCCTCGTCCTCCTCCTCCTCCTCCTCCTCCTCCTCCTCCTCCTCGACACAGCCCGAGCGCAACATGTCTGTCACGCTGCATGTCACTTACGCCAACGCGTACGCGGGTGGGTTGCGCTCCAAGCCACTTACGCCCCCCCCCGCGCAGTTGCGGGTGGCGCCAAACCGCCACTTGCGCCACCACGGACGGAGTCCAGGGGTGGCGCTCACAAACGTCGAAGACCAGACGAGTTGGGCACGGACGAGGTCTCGCCAACGCGCATCCTCCTCCTCCTCCTCCTCCTCCTCCTCCTCCTCCTCCTCCTCCTCCTCCTCCTCCCCTTCCACTTCCTCCTCCTCCTCCTCCTCCTCCTCCTCCTCCTCCTCCTCCTCGTCCTCCTCCTCCTCCTTAGCTCGATCGGCGTCGACCTGCAGGGGTTCGAGGCCTTCAACTCGTTGCGGGCCAGCGTCGAGGGCCCGCAGGCCCGTCGGGCTCGAGGAACACGCGGGCCGCGTGAGGCTCTTGCTGGCGCCGGGTGTCGCCGAGCAGGGCACGGCATCCGAGTCGGCGGCAGCGCACGGCCCCTCCGAGGCCCAGGAGGCTGTGCGCACGGCGCCCTCGGGAGCGGCTGGTGCCAAGAGGGCGCTCGTGATCGAGGCGATGGGCAGCACGGGCCTCCCCGGCGGCTGGTGCTCGAGGTGGCCGTGCTGCACGGCTGAGGTTCAGGATCGAGGAGTTCCCGGTCCGACTTTTGGTGGGGGATTTTCGGGGCCTGGGGGGGGGCTGTCTCTCCCCAGAGCTGTCCCTGGGAACGGACTCCCCTTGCGTTCGGGCGGGAGGCGGCTGTTCCCAGGGGGGCGCCTTTGGGCGCGGTCTTCGGTGAAGGCTCACGGGGGGACCGCCCCCCTTCGCGGGATGCGATGCTTTTCGGAGCACTTCTGTTCTCCCTGTTCTCCCTCCTCCTCCTCCTCCTCCTCCTCCCCCTCCCCCTCCCCTCCCCTCCCCTCCTCCTCCTCCTCCCTCCTCCTCCCCTCCTCCTCCTCCTCCTCCTCCTCCTCCTCCTCGTCTCGTCCTCGTCCTCGTCCTCGTTCCTCGTCCTCGTCCGTCCTCGTCCTCGTCCTCGTCCCTCGTCCTCGTCCTCGTCCGTCCTCGTCCTCGTCCTCTCCTCGTCTCCTCCTCCTGCCTCCTCCTCCTCCTCCTCCTCCCCTCCTCCTCCTCCTCTCCTCCTCCTCCTACTCCTCCTCCTCTCCTCCTCTCCTCCTCTCCTCCTCCTCCTCCTCCCACCCTCCTCCTCCTCCTCCTCCTCCCCTCTCCTCCTCCTCCCTCCTCCTCCTCCTCCTCCTCCTCCTCCTCCAACTCCCCTCCCTCCTCCTCCTCCTCCTCCTCCTCCTCCTCTCCTCCTCCTCCTCCTCCCCCTCCTCCTCCTCCTCCTCCTCCTCCTCCTCCTCCCCCTCTCCCTCCCTCTCCTCCTCCTCCTCTCCCCCTCCTCCTCCTCCTCCTCCCCCTCCTCCTCCTCCTGCCGGGGATGCCTCACTTGTCTTTGGGGGGCCGGCCGCTTCCGGGGTCCTTGCCCTCCTCCAGCGTCGCCGAGCAGTTGGTGAGCTTCAGGCTCTTCAGGACGCTCGGGGCAGGCTCTCTTTTGGAGAGCGCAGCGGCGCGGGCGGCAGGGCGGCCCGTGGAGGCCCCGCGGCGGTGGCCGTGGGGATAAACCACAAGAGATCGATCGTGCTACAGTCGGGGCGTTGACCTAAGGAACCCTAAATAAGGAACGAGGCCCCTTCGGGGATGGACAGACCCCCCTTTAGTAAAACGTGGTTTAGTGAAAACGACCTGAGGCCCAAACCTGGTTGGCGCAAGCCTGGAAAATAACGGCCACGGCGCCATCTCGAGAACCGAAAACGGACAATTCACTAATCGACGTGTCACTGTTGGGGGTTCTGTCCACCCCCGACCCCTTTTTTCCATAAGTGAACCTTCGATTTCCTGTCGGAAACATAAGGGAAGCCTGGGGCAAGCTGCGAAGCACTCAAGGAGCGCGGAGCCCCTCCCCAACGAGAAGGGTTCCTTCTTCGGGGCCCCGACTGCACGGTTGGCGTTGCAAAGATAGCGGGCAACAGCGATCCCCCCAAAAGCACGCTGTCCATGCGAGGCGATCCCCCCTCGGAAGGCCCCTCCTGCGCACGCTTCTTCCGTCTGCGGGGGCCTCGTCGGTGCACGGCATTCCCCTGCCAGGGCTGCCTCGGCGCACGCCATCCCCATGATTCGGGTCGGGCGAAAAGGCGGGGATGGCAAAGGGGGGGGTTGAGAATCAGCTCACGTAGCTGATTTTCCCAGCGCCTCCCGGCGCCGGAGGCGGCCATGCATCGAGAAATGGGCCCCTCGGTGGGGCCGAAACCAGCTGCATGCAGCAAATTTCGTGACCCTCCCTTTCCCAATCCCCCCCTTTCGTCCGGCCCGACCATGGTGGGGGATGGCGTGTAACAAACGGGCCGGCGGAACCACATCTCGCGCTCTCTTTGCAACGCCAACCGTGCTCCCAGGACCTCCCCGGGTGCGTCCTGAGCAGCATTTTCGAGGCAACTCCAGCCGTGGCGACGAGGGCCCCCCCGGGATGTCCCAAAAGGCGAAAGCGATGGAAGGGTACAGGGCAATTTTTAATACGTTTTATTAAATTATTTTAATATTTGATTTTTAATACATGCTTAATTTATGAATCAATGTATGCATGAACTCATCGTTGTTTCTAATACTAAATCCCTGCATTTTTAATACATGATCCGCACGCGGAGCATGTATCAAAAACGGCACGGTAGCTGCATCAACATCCTGTTCTCCTCTGATTGGGTCCCACAACGGTGCCGCGACAGACCGTGCGGCGCCCTCGGAATCCCCAGCGGCCTCACCGCACGGCCCGTCACGGCACGGCTTTGGGACCGTGGAGGCCGCGAGTGCCCGAGGCACCCTCGGAGAACGAGCCAAGTCCCCAAACCGTCCGACCAGGCTCAGGTCGGGCATGTCCCCCTGAAAGCGGAGTGTGGAAGAAACATAAAAATAGTCAAAACAATTCAAAATTGTCTAGGGGAAAAAAATCGGCCCCATAATATTCGTTGACTATTTTGCCCAAATCTCCTTGGTTGGGTATTCGTTTTGAAAATAGCACTGCGGTCGCGTCCTTCTCCTCCTCTCGCCTTCCGCCTCCTGCCTCCCGTCTCCCGCCCCCCTCCTTCTTGTTTCCTCTTGCCTTGCCTGGGGGGGGCTGCGATCTGCGAAACTGTCGCCACTTTCGAAGGCTGCTGGTGGGCTCGGCGGAGTGAGGCACCGTGCGGATCTGAGCGGTAGCTTGTCGTCCCTGGGTGGCTGCGATCTGCGAAACTGTCGCCACTTTCGAGGGCTGCTGGTGGGTCCAGCGGAGTGAGGCACCGCGCAGATCTATGCGGTAGCTTGCCGTCCCTGGGGGGCTCCGATCTGCGAAACTGTCGCCACTTTCGAAGGCTGCTGGTGGTCCAGCGGAGTGAGGCACCGTGCGGATCTGAGCGGTACCTCGCCGTCCCTGGGGGGCTGCGATCTGCGAAACTGGCGCCACTTTCGAAGTCTGCTGGTGGGCTCAGCGGAGTGAGGCACCGCGCGGATCTATGCGGTACGGTAGCTTGCCGTCTCTGGGGGGCTCCGATCTGCGAAACTGTCGCCACTTTCGAAGGCTGCTGGTGGTCCAGCGGAGTGAGGCACCGTGCGGATCTGAGCGGTAGCTCGCCGTCCCTGGGGGGCTGCGATCTGCGAAACTGTCGCCACTTTCGAGGGCTGCTGGTGGGCTCAGCGGAGTGAGGCACCGCGCGGATCTGAGCGGTAGCTTGCCGGCTCTGGGGGGCTCCGATCTGCGAAACTGTCGCCACTTTCGAAGGCTGCTGGTGGTCCAGCGGAGTGAGGCACCGCGCGGATCTGAGCGGTACCTCGCCGTCCCTGGGGGGCTCCGATCTGCGAAACTGTCGCCACTTTCGAGGGCTGCTGGTGGGCTCAGCTTAGTGAGGCACCGCGCGGATCTATGCGGTACGGTAGCTTGCCGTCTCTGGGGGGCTCCGATCTGCGAAACTGTCGCCACTTTCGAAGGCTGCTGGTGGGTCCATCGGAGCGAGGCACCGTGCGGATCTGAGCGGTAGCTCGCCGTCCCTGGGGGGCTGCGATCTGCGAAACCGACGCCATGTTTTGAGGGCTGTTGGGAGAAAGGGACGCTGAGAGGGCCTCCTCTCATGCAAAAAACGAACATTGGGCGCCCGAGTTATCCGGGATAACTCGGGTCCGGGGTAACTCGGGTTTGGGTTCCCGAAAAAGGAACCCGAGTTATCCCTGACCCGAGTTACCCCTGATGATTCGGGGCTCTTGGACGCCCGATTTATCCGGGGTAACTCGGGTCCGGGATAACTCGGGTTCGGACTCCCGAAAAACGAACCCGAGTTATCCCTGACCCGAGTTACCCCTGATGATTCGGGGCTCTGAGAACAATTCATCTGGATCAGTGATCCGCTCTTTGTGATATGAATTGCCAAGACACCCAACCGTAATCGAATGGTCATCACCCGAGGCCCCCAAGGCCCGAGGCACGCGCATGCTGGGCGGAGGGCCCGTGGGCCGCTCGGAGGCCCTCGGGCGCTCCAAAGAGGGAGGAGGAACACATGGAAAAACGAAGGGAAACACATTAAAAACACGGTTTCACTTGGGAACACCGGAAAAACGTAGAAAAAAAAAAATAAACAAAAAAAAAACGACAGTCACAGGATGCGTGGCTCTTTCCTTGCGTTCCCCTGTGCAAAGCACATGGCTTCCACTGCTGCCTGTGCTGTCTCCCCGGTGCTCCTCTCCTCCGTTCTGCGGCGAGGACACGGGCCGTGGGCCGCTCGGGCAGGAGAGCCTGGAAAACCCTTAAAAACACACCTGTTTGGGCGCCCGAGTTATCCGGGGTAACTCGGGTCCGGGGTAACTCGGGTTTGGATTCCCGAAAAAAGAACCCGAGTTAGCCCTGATCCGAAATACCCCTGATGATGTGGGGCTCTGGGCGCCCGAGTTATCCGGGGTATCTCGGGTCCAGGGTAACTCGGGTTTGGATTCCCGAAAAACGAACCCGAGTTATCCCTGACCCGAGTTACCCCTGATGATTCGGGGCTCTGACCTGTGTTCTCACATGTAAAATAAGGAACCGAACTTTACACACCGATGCCTTTTTTTTCTCCTGGTCCCACACTGAGATTCGCACAAGAAAACGGATTCTGGTGTATACGGCATCCTGGTGTATACATGTTTTGTGGCTTCCACGGGAAACGGTGGAAACATATACACCACACCACCCCGACGTCGTCCCCGAACCTCAAAAAAGTCCCGGGATTGAAGAACCGCCCGCCACTGGTAATGTATATGTTCCAGTTCCCGATAAACGTAAGAAACACTTGAAAAAACAACGACAATCACAAATTTCGTGGCTCGTTCCTGTTTTCCCGTGCGAAAGCACATGTGTTTGTTGTCCACTGCTTGCTATGGTGTTCCTATTTCCTCTCCTCCGTCCTGCTGCGAGGAAGTGCCGTGGGCCGCTCGAAGAGACCCCTGGGCTCCTCCTTCTCCTCCTCCTCCTCCTCCTCCTCCTCCTCCTCCTCTGAACCTGCCCAGCCTGGGGTGCTGGCTGGGCAAAGGTGGGTCTTTCATGCTCGCGTCGAGGGCTGGAGGGTGCCCCCGTCCGACCTCGGAGACCAGGGTCGTGACTACCTACCAGACCACCCCAACCCAACCCGAAGATCCGAATTTCGGGTTGGGGGGGGTAAGGGTTCCACACATGTGTTTTCTCGATGCTCCCCGACCCCCCCCCACTGGAAATCGAGGGTAAATTTGAGCCTTCGGGTTGGGTTGGGGTGGTTTGGTGGGTGGTGAGGTCGGGGGCTCTAGGTGCTCGCTGCTTCCTCGTGTGCAGGCGTCGGGCGGTGGCCGGACCCGGCGTCGGAGCTCTCCCCAGCAGCTTGCTCGAGCTGGGCCGGAGGGCTGGCACGCGTCGGGCCCCGGGAGTGGGAGCGCGTGCGGCTGGCGGCGGTCGTGAGGCCTTCTGACTACCTACCAGACCACCCCAACCCAACCCGAAGGCCCGAATTTGACCCGAATTTCGGGTTGGGGGGGGTACGGATTCCATATGTTTTTTCGATGTTCCCCGACCCCCCCCACTGGAAATCGAGGATAATTTTGGGCCTTCGGGTTGGGTTGGGGTGGTTTGGTGGGTGGTGACCTTCGGTGGAGGGAGGGCAGCAAGAAAAACAGGGGCACAGAAATTCGCTTGCAGCGGCCGTTGCAAAAGGACCTTAAGTGTGGAAGCCACTGCAGAGCACCCACGCTTGAAATCCTTGTGTAAAGTCTCTGCACAAGGCATCCGGTCGGAAAGGCTGCCACAAGCGGACTCTAAGTGTGGAACGTCTGCACCGTAAGAACACCGAAAGCCACAGGTCTTCCTAGCTGTTCCTGTGGTCTCCGAGTGACAACACAGGCTTCATGTGTTTCTTGTCTTCCCGTGTTCCTCTCGCACTTTCCTGGGCCCGAGTTGCCGCCCCCGCGGATTCCCCCGCAATGGAAACCGTTGTGTAAGGTCGCCACTAG